GCCTATTAATTATTTATTTTAAAATATATTTTGTAAAACAATTTAAGATATTTTGGGGTTAAAATACACTGCAATGCTTTTACTGTGATTTACTTTACTTACGGTACACGTCTTCTTTATATACAGTTCTCTGAAACTTTTCTGTTCTACATAAGTTCAACAATTTAATTACTTGTTTCCCCCACATTTTTTCCAAATATTTTACATTTTTCAACTGTATATATCCTACCTAAATTTCTCACGTTTTCAGGAATTTGTATTTACCTGCAGCACAAAAACTACAACACACGATTCAAGAAATCTACCCATAATGTGACAGGAAAAACCCTGCATCTCATTTTCAGCTGCTTAAACATTCGTTTGACATTGAAAATTTTGGAATCAGGTCAAAATTACCAAAAGACAGAGATGCAGCTGTGTACTTAACCAGTTCATTTCTATTGTGTTTTAGAGGAAATTATGTTTTTTATTAGTGGGGTTAGGTTGACAGAATCAAATTATTGTGGGGGTCATAACCCCCCAACCCCCCCTGGAAATTACACCCATCTGAATGTACTCCTTCAAATTAAAGCTGAACATGTACATGTTATTATTATTACTTTTTCCCAGAAAATGACAAAATGCCTAATGTTAAGTACATCTTAAACTGTGAAATGAACGTGAAATAAAAGTAACTGTAAACTGGATAGTTGTAAAAGTCCAAACCTTATATGCTCTATACACATATAATCAGTAAAAACTTAAATTGGTTGGCAATTCCTTAAATCAAACCAAAGTTTAGCAGAGTATATGTGGTGGGGATGATGCATGGCTACTACTATTTATTTACTATTTTAAATGTTTTAAATATGTTTCCATAACACTGTGGTGGTAGCAGCCACAGACTCAAGCTTGTCTTTGATCCCAGCTGTTCCATTCGTGACTTTCTGACTCTTGCAGAGAATATAATCCGATTACAACCTGTGTGAAGTCACTTACAGTGCTGGTGTTATTGAGCAGAGCGGACTCGGTCCCTCTCAGAGCCGTGCACGTCTGTTCATTCAGTCCTCCGCTGCGCTCCGAGTCCGACAGCTCCGTGCCCTCGGAGACAAACCGCTCCCTCGGCTGCAGCCTCCTCACGCGGGACCAGCCATCTCCCTCCGCTCGCGGTCTGCTCAGCGCTGACGAAAACAGCCCGAGCGCCAAAATGCAGCACACGAAGAACATGACTGTCAAACAAAACAATAGGGACTACTTCAACTTTGGACACTATGAGAAACTCTCGAACGTCCCAGCAATGACTTGGCTCCACATGCGCCCCCTGCTCCTCCTCCTCCGTCCCCCTCATCTTCAGAAGCATCTTTCAACAATGGCCCATTCGAGGTGCMGCACGCTATTGGTCAAGACCTGCAAACTCTGCGTTTTCATTGGGCGAGAGGAATCTTCTTCAACTGAGCGGCAGTTTCCGTCTGGCRCTACACTGCCCCCTGGTGGCAAGACCGCGAACAGACCAAGGGGGCTCTTCCTCAAAGGAGGATTTATTCTCTGAATCTGTTGAGCTTTCCAAGAAACTATATAAAAAAAAAAAGGCCAAAACAAATAAGTCTTGCACAACGGACTGTTTTAACAGAAAAAAAAGACGAGGAAAACAAGTTTCTGAACCTATGAAACAGACTATAGTGGGAAAATAAAAGTTTTAATTTGCCTGACTAGCACTCATCATTTTTGTTGTATTCAAACYGTTTATCTTCTATGGATGTGGAAAACATCTTGATGGATACTCAAAAGATAATATCACCTTTGTTGACAAGCRTTTCATGGGAACTATTGTAATTTTCAGAGCTATAAGTCAGAAATCCATGCACTGTCCATGACCTATTTTTATTTTATTTTTTCTTGYTGGCTGAAGTTGTTTAGTTTCTCATCTGAGGAGTTTTCTCAGTTCATACTGGAATGTGCCAGGTAGCAAAGCTTTCAGCTGAATGGGATGCAGCTTTGCACATTCCAGCCTGAACTGAGAAAACTCCACGGAAGAGAAGCCAAACATCTTCAGCCAACAAGAAAAAAAAAGCCGTTACCCTTTAAATGTTTTGTCTTTTAGAATTTAACACATCTTTTGGCTTTACATCCAAATACAAAGCATGTTTATTATTACCTAATGGGTACAATTAAAGTAACAAAATAATCTAAGGAAACTCATGAGATTAGTTTCAAGCAGTTAAAGACTACTTATTACAAGAAAAATCTTTCAACAAATGATGACGAAGAGTCTCMGTGATTTTCTGAATACAACAGTTTATTTATAGTATTGATTCGTAACAAAAGACCCCCCCTCCCCACCCGCCCCCCAATTTGCTGCCCAGACACTGTTAGACCAGAGGTAAATTACCACATTACAAAGAGAAACCTGCAAAAACTTCTGAATGCTGTGGGTTAACTGAAAGCTGTGGCTGCGTTGTGACCCAGACACTCTCCTCTTTTTTATTTTCTTCCCAGCCCAGAACTCACACCAGGTATTTTCTTGTCTAGATGTCCTTGATAACATCCTCCAGCTCCTCTTTGGAGTACATGTGGAAGGTCTTACCAGGCTCTACTGTCGCCAGCTAGAAGAGATGAAGAATCAGCATGAAAACTGGGGATTTCAGCTTTGGCCTTCCCTGCAAACTCACAGCTCCTGATGTCTTTTTTTAAGTGACACCACAAATGTTTTTTGAAACAGTCATGCTTAAAAGACTTTTACAACATGATAGCATTCAGGGAGAACCAACCTCAATGTTAGTGGCGTTGAGCTTCTCCTCCATCACCTGCTTCARAATGGTGAGAGATGACTTGATGGCATCTTTTAATGTCATCGACTGTCCAAAAACAAAAACAGATTGATTTTTAATGAACGTCTAAAGCTTTAGCCATGACATTTGACATGTTTTACTCTAGGCAGCTAGGAGACTTATCCTGCGATGCATTAAAATCTGTTAAAAAGTTTGATAATTTCATGATCATTCACATATTCAGAAACAACTTGGTTTATTATATACACTTTCTTGTAAACAACCAAGTGTGAGTTATCAAATAGACAGTTAAACATAAAACCAAAACAGTTCTTGCTAATCGAGGAGAAATGATTGAAATTTCTGAATAATGTGCACAGGTAGTGTTTTATTGCCACTTATGGAGAGAAAATGGCCAGTTATTTATGCTGCATTTATTTCAGACAAACTTGAGGTTTTTAGAGCACCAGCAGATCTCTGACCTGAAAACCTAATTGTGGGTTTATAGCGGAAGCATTGAGGCATTTGACGTAACTAAAAGATACTCTTTCATTAGTCTGATTTTCTGTTGTAAAAGCCATGTGATAATCCTGATAAATACAATCTATTTATCTGACAGGTCAGACTGATATGCTGGTTTTCATTTTCTGGAACCAGTCGACTCACACTGGCCTCACAGCTAATCCTTTATCAGGAGCTTCAGTTAACAAAATGCTCTTCTGAACAAAACATGCAACCCAGAACAGGGTCATGGACGACTAGATTTACTTTTAAGTAAATGTACAAAAACTTACTGTGATAAATTTGACAGGAGAACAAGGTCAGAAGTGATAATACGTACCTTGTGGTAGACCTCTTGCAAGGAGCTCTGTGCTCCCTCTGAAGCTGAGCCGATGGCCCGAGCATCACACTGCACAAAGGTTCCTGATGGGTCCATGTGGTAGCTGGATTACAAGAAAAAATGCTCATTCTTCTTGTAAAAACAAACAAACAATAAAAACAACTTAAAATGGAAACAAATTTAAAATGAAACATACAGCTGGGGTCCTTTTTCGTCAACTCCTCCAAACAGTAACGCTACACCAAAAGGCCGACTCTGAATAAAGAAAGGGAAACCAGAAAGACAAAATTAATTAAATTAAATGTTTGTTAAAGAAGACCTGGAGGCGGTCTGACTGACCATGGCACCAGGGTCTGCGTCCTCCTCTCCAAACTGCAGCGCCAGGTTGGACACAGCCTGAGTCACGCTTTCCACCGTCATTGTCTCGTTGTAGGTGAACCAGTGGTTCTGTGAAGAGCGACGAAACAGGTTAGGGGCGTCTTCACAAGCTCACTGCTTCGTTTACACTGCCGCTCTGAAGTCATACCTGTGTTTCCACTCTTGCTTTGTCGATCAGAGTCTTAGCGTCAGCTATTAAGCCACTCATGGCACAACCTGGACCACAAAAACAGAAGAGAAATAAGAACCTGTATATACCTAACAAGCAACAATCACCTCTGTAAAACCGTCACATACTATGTTACCTGGTCAAACATGACTGATTATAAATGGTACATTATTTATACAACATTTGACCAAATGATTACTCTGCAAGGTCTGCCTTTATAAGTGCAGWACAGCAAAACGTGATTTTGTAATCCACTATCTTCCCAGATTCACTGCTTAACCACCCACCTCTCTCAAGAATTATAAGTTTGGATTAACGAAAAATTATGGTTTGAAGATTAACATAACAAATATCACAGATTCTAATTTAAAAAAACCTAAGGAGGACTAATTAAAGATGCTGTGTACCAACATTTAATAAAGGTGTTATCAAAAAATTACTTGTACGATACAACCCACATAACAGAGGTTTACAGAATAAGTTCCTTAAAGTTTTTAAAATACAACTTTTGCAATATTTTTGTTTTGTTTGAAACATAGTTATTATGGAGTTTTAACAAAGACTGCTTGCACATTTGAAGCATAAACATTTTGCTTTTGAAAAGGATGCAAATACATTCAAGATGTTGACCCAATAATATAAAAAATAATAATAAAACACACACAATAACCAACATTTTTAGATATTCAGCGTCAACATTTGTGTCACATTGTGTTACCGATGTGACTGTCAATCTCCACGATCTTCTCGATGCTGTTGGGCTCCATCAGGGGGGAGGTGATTCTCTTCTCCACAGCCAGACACACGCCCTCTGATGTCTGGATGCCGATGGCTGTGGAGCCCAACTGAGAGAGCAAAGAAAACCAGTGAGCTGAAACGTGAACTACTGTTTWATTTTAGTTTCATCACAGGCACTATTCAGAAATAAAATGGGTAAAAACAATTCTGCATCATACTCACCTTTATTGCCTCTATGGCATACTCAACTTGAAACAGTCTTCCCTCTGGAGAGAATGTGTTTACACCTCTACAAAACACACACAGATACTACATTAGCTCATTATTAACAAAAGGTTCATAATTTCATGCTTTTGAATAAATAGTATTTTGCCAGTTAATGAAGGGTTGTTCATAATTTCCAGTTGAAAATTCAAAACATTTCCAAATTATAATTTTCTGGTCAGTTTTTAAGCCAWATATGTAAACGCATCTTTAAACTCACTGTGGCTGTTCATAAAGTGGTGGGATTTTACTATGTGTATGCTTCAAATATCCTGTACACTGTGCACAAAAGCTACAAAAGAAATAAAACCATCTGTTAAATTTTTCTAAATAATTTTTGCTCATAATACCAGGTTTTAAGTTTTGCTCATCAATAATGTTTATTTGGCAAGACTATGCTCCTATTCTTTATAGAATGGGCGTGCTTTGRAAACTGGTCTATCGTGTCACTAAAAGGTTACAGGCTGTGTATGTAATCTATGGTAACTCATTAGTAATATATTCCTAAATCAAATACTGATATGTTGTAGTCATTAAATTGGAAATTACTTGTGGTCCACTGATTTGTCCAAACCTGAATATATCTTTGAATTCTCCATCAATAACTTCAAATCTAGATGCTGAGGATTAAATATAAACCTTGACGTGGTAGATTAGGCAAAGGTCACAATGACTAGTATGTTCATCTTTAATACTTTTCGTTTTTCTTTTCCATGGAAATAGTGTTCTCACCTTTCTGTGTTATTAACTATGGATGTACTGTGTTTAGGATGCAGTAAATAAATAAATACTGGCTGAAATTATGATATTCTCGGGGAAAAAACTCTCAACACATTCAAATATGTTCATGCCTACACAGACAAAAAAAGTAAGTTAAATAAATGGTAACGAAAGTGAAAGCATTGCAACCGGATTATTAGCCATTTGCTAACTACCTGAACAAAATTATGACCAAGGACAGAAGAAAACAGCTCTTATGAAATTCTCTTATTCGCTTAAATARATTGTGAATTACAAGGAGGAGGAAACCCTCCGTATCATAATCATCTTGTGTGATTTCTTTATCTTTAGTGCCAAATGACAAAGCACTTTGTGCTGCACTGACTTACCTGTCATATTCCGATCTGGTCAAAAACATATTTTATCTTTTACCACGGTGGCTGCAAACACAGATAAATCATTCATGAACATAAATTCAGTTTTAAACCATTATAAATAACGAAATCGAGGCTTTGTTTTTTTATTGTTCTTGTTGATAAATTAGCAAAATGAGCCGCGGAAAGAACGACGAGCATGCTCGTTAGCGAACTAGCATTTAATGAAACAAATCCTGGTGCTTCTTCAAATACGTCTAATTTCAATGTGTATTAAATTCAGCTATGTTTAACATAACATTTTGGTATAACTTTGTCTTTAGTTTTCTAAATAGCTACAGATAWAAGACTCGTTTACCTTCAAACACAAACCCTGAATGAGTTTGCTAGTTTCAGGGAAAAGCTTCTTGGTGTAGCACTCGTTCCCTTCCGGTTGTCACAGCAAATCTCAAAATAAGGTTCCGCCTTCACAATCCATCCATCCATCGATCCATCCTGTTCTTCTGCTGTTGTTTAATGGCACCATCCATCCATCCATCCATCCATCCATCCATCCATCCATCCATCCATCCATCCATCCATCCATCCATCCATCCATCTTCCTTTATTTCCCAAATTGGTTCGCGGGGGGCACTAGCTTGAGCAGGGAAGCCCAGACCTCTCTTTCCCCAGCCACCTCTTCCAGCTCTTCTGGAAGGACTTCAAGGCCTCCCCAGGCCAACCGAGAGACATTGTAAATTATATACATACTATACATACTATTTAAAACTGTGGGTAAATATTAGAAAAATGCACATTGTTCTAATTATTTTTATTTTTATTTTAAACGAGTAAAACTAGATTTTTTTGTAGCATTGTAAYAATAGTTGTGAAACTAAGACTAATTAATAGTTTATTTAAATTTTTTGATTAAAACCCCCAGCATAACAACAGAAAAAGAAAACCACTATTTTTTTAAATAAGGTACTTAAAAGCACTATAAATAATAAAATAGAGGATATTTAGGATATTTAAATATTGATCCGAATAAACGGAAATGACGGTATATTATGTCGAAGCATCGTTTAAGGAAAAACATTTTGCTCTGGAATACATTTTTGGCTAATATTTGTAGGGTTTCAAAATAAAATTATACTGTGAAAATTTTAACAATAAAATCGCACGAGCCCTGTAACATTTCTTTACACGTCATTTGAGAAACTGACCACTAAGTGTCTCTGTAGAGCTGAACATTGAGAGCCAGTGTTAAACAATAGGAACCAGAAACACATCTGTATGAATGGTTTTAATTAATTATGGTTATGCAGCTTATAGTAATATGTTACAGGTGCTTATCTTTATTAAATTGAATTATGTAAGTAGAAGAACCTAATTAAAGTACAGTCATCACTAGCAGTAAAATAAATTAATAGAACTAAACAAGAAGTAAAGAGAGAATATTTGAAGGATTTTTTTTTTCAGTAAAATGAATCTTCAGATTAGTTTTAGGGTTTCTTAGTGGAGGGGTGTGGAACAGTGTCAGGTTTCATCTGAGATCAGTTCCGTTTGGTTCTGCTTTGGTTCTGGGTCTCTTACGCTCAGCAATGCCATCTCTGGACTCAGAAACTGAAGTAGGAGATAGTTTTCTGAAGCTGACAGATGTCCTCCAGTCAKGATGAGGAAGGACGTTCTTCGTTTTCAGACTCTCCTCTTCATACTTAGTAAGTTGTTTCACTTTTGGATGCAGTTTATATATATATGTTAAGAAAAAGGTTTGTTTCCATCAGAGATTTTGTCTGCATCACATGTTTTGGAAACTTTTTAATAAATTTCCTGACATGTTAAAGGGCTGAAGTTCTTCCTTTAAACACGCCAGGCTAAAATTGTGGGAGCACAATGGATTAGTGGTTAGCTCTGATGCCTCAAGGTCCTGGGTTTGAGCAACAGTTTGGACCTGGGGTCTTTCAGGGTTTACATGTTCTCCATTGGTGGGGTTTTCCCTGCACACTCTAGCTTCCTCTACTGACCAAAACACATTAGGTTGCCTTCAGGCCCAAACCTCCCTTTCAAAAGAGATCTCAGTGTGACTTGCCTTGTTAAATAAAGAATAATAATCAAAAGTGCTCACTAAAATTCATCATGCTACAGCAGTTTTGTTAAATATATACCTCAACAAGACAGAGTAGAAACTCTACAAGAATTGTAAAAGAAACCAAGATCCAAGTTGCTGTCATTCAGGTCACAATGGTAACAAGTGGCTGACACAGGTGTGAGGTTACCCCTCCCTGATCAGGGAGTGACAGACAGGTACGCAGAGAAAAATAGACTAAAACTAAACTTTAATGAACAGCTACTGTGCGACAATGTGGATTTTTAAAATGTTTTTACAGAGTTTTATTTTGGACATATGATAAGTTAAACATCTTCTATTATTTTGACATCAGCAAAAATATTTCATATCCACTGGAAGGATTTTAATGAAATTTTCAGAAAGCATGAGTGCATGTCTACAATGTCTGCTAGATGATTTAAGATGGCCGCCGCAGTTAATAGACTTTAACCTAAACAGAAATTGCCATAAAAAGTGAGTTTTACAGCTATTGAGCTAAAATTTGGTGCGGTTGTTAAGAGGGGTGCTTTTTGTAAAGCAGATTGTGCTAAAATACGGCAACCTTTTGTCATCAACATTTAGCATTTAGATTTAACATTTAATATTAATATTTAGTATTTAGCTTTAACATTTAAGTTGAATAATTTAAATGTGCTAAAAGGTGACTTTAGAAAATCCACACTATTTTTTCAGACATTGTTTAGGTGTGACAAAATGTTCCTGTTATTTTTTGCACAAGATGCTTTCCAATTGGCGCCCCACAGGTTATAGTTTCACATAGACTAGCACTAATGGATGATATTAGGTTTTACAATATCACATGAGATTCTTCAAGGGATGCAAGACTTTGGATTTAAATTAAGAATGTATGATTTATTTAAAAAAATACACAACTTGATTTTTATTTTTTTATTAATTTTTTCAGTTTCTGCAGCCAGCTTCTACACTACAGGTATGTCTCTGAGCTCTGATTGTGATATTTAATTTATTATTTGTATCTTCTGAAAACTGATCCCTTCTTCTCTGTCTTCCAGTGTGGTGTCAGTCTGACAGCAGCAGCAGCGTGGTGGTGGCAGGTTATAATGTCAGCTCCCCAGCAGGGTCCAAGGTGGTGCTGCAGTGTGTGAGCGTCCGCATGGTGTGGACCAGGGACAGGCTGAGGGACAGGCAGAGGGTGGTCCACTGGGACATGTACAGGGATTATCCGGATTACGCCATGGAGAGGGTGGTGGACATGTTCTCAGCAGGAGACCAGAGGCTCTACAGCTCRCATAACCTGAACAGGGTTGGCCTCAACCCCACATCCTTCAAGGATGGAAACTTCTCTCTGGTCATTAAAGGTCAAATTCTCATTTCACGTTCATGTGTAGAGCTATGAATTATACATAATGACTCAAATATATGCACAGCTTTACCTAAATTTAGCTAAAAATGTAGCTTTTACTGAAATTTCTCAAGACTTCCAAGGCCTTTTACCTTTTAATTACTGATCATGGTTGACTGCAGCTGGTTCTCTTTCCCAGGATTAAAAATTTTGTTTGACTACACTCACTGGATTAACCAAATCTGATAACAATTAAGGCCACTATCCTGTATGTTTTAACTATTTTTCCTCCAACACATCTGATTCAGTGTTTGAATTATGTCTTTAAGTTCTGCAGAAGACTGTTAATCACCATTAATTTAAATCAGGTGTGTTGGAGCAGAGGAACAAGTAAGACCTACAGGATAGTGTACCTTGAGGACCAGGATTGTCACTGGAGGATTGTCGATCACTGAGTTAGAATATCCAGGAACAACCCAGAAACCACCTAGGCTCAAACTTGCCATGGACTGCTGGAACACATCCCACATAGCAAAATTTGTCTGTCCCAGTTCTGGCCCACACCGGGCATTAACACTCGGCTCACATACAGCAAAGAATGACAGCCGTTTGGTGGCCCAGATGTGGTTTGCAAGAGGTGATCCATACATGGGCCAGCACCACAGAAACCAAACCACAGCTGGACCAATTGTGGTATGCCATTTTAAAAACAGTGACATTGACAAACATGGCCCACATCTGGCCCACAAACCACCTGCCATTACAGTAGTCAACGAACAGTGCCAGTTATGTAGACACCAGATCTGGCCCTGCTATGTGTCTGCTGTGTGGGCTATGTGTCAATTCAAACCAATCTTACAATGGTCAATCAATGTCAAATAATAAAACTGACACATGTCTGGTCAATCTAATTATGTTCAGCAGTTAGAGTACACAGTGATCACGGGTGTATTAAAATAAAATGTTGTAACTTTTTGTTTTGCTTTCTCCTGCTTGTCTGACAGATGTGACAATGAAGGACAGAGGTCTGTACTCCTGTAACCTCCACCATCTTTACTGCCACCTGTACGAGACGGTCAGAGTTCAACTCAATGTGACCAAATCACGTATGTATGCCTTTACAATCCACCCYAGCCAGTTTGGCGCCCTAGGCAAGATTTTAGGTGGTACCCCTTGTTCAGTTCATTAAATCTCACTGCCAATACGTTCACATTCCAAACTACAGTAAATAGTTTGTTTTGGATATTTTATGTCTTTAGAACCCAGGTTGTCCAATTAAAATAGCTACCAATATAATTCATTTCTATCAGAATACCAGAAGTCTACCTCATACCTGCCAACTTTTGCTGACAGCAACAAGGAAAACCTTGTTCATGTTAACGAACTGCTGTGGAGTGAAGCATTTCTAGGGCGGGTCCAGGGGTATTCTCCCCTGGAAAATTTTCCAGCCATTTGAAGAGCATTTTACTAAATTATTGGGATTAACAAAACAACATAAAATCAATATTTTATGAAGGTAGTACAATGAAAACCACATTTTAATCTGAACAGTTTCTGAGATCATAACTGAAACATCCATTATCCTTATTTTGTTTTCTGTTTAAACACTGAGCACCAGTAGTTAGTCTTAACTGCAACATATAATGCACCATATAACAGAGGAACAATTCCACTGAAAAACCCACAGAACAAGTTACCTTCATAAACCTGAGTAATCAGTTATTATTCCACAGAATAATCAGCTATACTCTGATAAAAAGTTATTACATGTTTTTTTGTCTCTAATTTGTGGCGCCCCTTTGATGAACGGTGCCCTTAGCATTTGGTTATACTGCCTATGCCACACRCATCTTCTCTGAAGGCTCGTCTTCTCATCACAAAGGGCGCAAAGAACAGCGTTTCTGGGACGGACAAAAGGCGGTGTTTGTGGTTCTGCTGGGGAGCACCGTGGTGTTGCCCTGCGTCAACAGACGAACCGTGTGGACTGACTGGAGCAACGAGGAGGAGGACCAGCAGGTGATATCTCAGTTGGATAAATCTGTCCACTCATTCAACTTTTGTTGACTGGAAGATGGGTCATCTTTTAGGTCGTCCACTGGGACCATCAGCCACCCGGGTTTCACCATGACCGCGCTGATCGTCTGGTGGATCTGTACGCCTCTGGGGAGCAGCGCAGCTACGGGCCTCTGTTCCTCCAGAGGAAGATGAACATCAGCAATCAGGCCTTCTCAGAGGGGGACTTCTCACTAACAATATCAAATCTGCAGGTTTGTACGCAGGAGTGTAAAGTGATACCAAACATTAGAACATATCAAAAGTCCAACTTTTTGTACGTTTTGCATGTTTCTCCATTTGTCAAAACTCTTGTTATGAATGGGGAAAATTCATCTTTTTTGGATGTCTTTTTTTTTGTAGGATTAGCAGTGAAATTTACAATAATGGTGCTTCAATTATGATCCATTAGCAACTAACTAATTTTGACATTAGTGCACAATATTAATTAACCCTACTGTTTGTTGGGGTTTACATCTGATAGTATGTGTGTGGTTGTGCACATGGTAAAATGTGTTTTACAGAAGGGTGCATTCATGTGCATTCATCTGATATGGAGCTTCTCGAGCACATGGAACAATCATCAGCAATGAAGYGCTTGTCAAGTCAAAATTTATAGGGAAGCTGGGAACCAGAAACCACTTTATGTTAAGCAATTGCATAAAAGAAAAACACGGAGCAGCTGTTGCCATTTGTTAGAACAGCAAGCAGAAGAAGGTTTAAGGCCGGAGTCGAGGGGATTCTTCAAATTTTCTGGGATTTTCTCAGAGTGATAGAGTGGTAGAGCTCGGATGTCAGAGAATTTAGGTCAAACTGAACCAATAAAACAAGCAGCTGATTGGCGCCGGTTTTCTTGGCAAAGTGGGTCATAGACCCCCCTCCTGAAATATGAGACTATAAGTTGCAAACTCTGCCTTTTTGGGTAACTTTAACATCTATTTTTAAGTTAATACACTGTATAACACTAAGGAGAAAATGTGAATTACAAATACAAGTAGTTTAAAGCTTTATTTTATTACCATTTCATACCAGAGAGCACGGGTTAAAAACCCAACACCATCTAGAAGCCAGAGTTGTATTCAGAGTTGTCATTAACTGGGCAATAATTTAGTTGTGTTCTGTTTAAAATTTATGAAGATTTCATTTCTTGGGGGTGGCTGTGGTAGAGTAGTTAGGGGAGTCGTCCTGGAACCGGAAGGTCGCCGGTTCGATCCCCGTCCAGTCAACTCAGTCGTTGTGTCCTTGTGCAAGACACCTTACCTGCCTTGCCTACTGATGGTGGTCAGAGGGTCCGGTGTCACCTGTGTATGGCAGCCTCGCCTCTGTCAGTGTGCCCCAGGGCAGCTGTGGATACAATGCAGCTTACCACCGTCAGTGTGTGAATGTGTGTGCGCATGGGTGAATGTCTGTAGTGTGAAGCACTTTGAGTGTCCTGGATGGATAGAAAGGCATTACAAACAGTCCATTTACCATTTTACCATATCTTACCAACTGAAGACAACCTCGGTTGCAATAAATAGACTTTAATTCTGACTGGACTGATGATTAAGTCAAAGGTACCTAATTTGTTATGCATGCATGCAATGATGAGGTTTGTGCTCTGCATTTGACCCATCACACATGAGAAACACCCAAGCAGTGAGCAGCTATATAAGCCCCCAGGGAGCAGTTGGGGGTTAGGTGTCTTGCTCAAGGACACCATGAAATGTGGGCATTGATTTGATTTATTTGATTTGTTGATTTAACAGGAAAAGATTGCTAAAAATCAAGCCTGACTCAGCATAATTGCTGTTTTACAGCAGGTTCCTGTTCTGCAGCACATAAAACACTCAGAAGTACAGTGTCACAATCACATCATTATACACCACAGACACAAAGGCAAACAAGCATACCAATTCTGGTCCCAAGTTGGCCGCCCCAATGATCTATAAATGCACAACTACAGGAAGCTAGCTTGTGGCATTTCCTGCTGAAAATGCTACAGCTAGGTTTGAACATTTACTTATTCATTAAATTTTATTTAACATGGCTGTCCCATTGAGAACATGAATCTCTTTAGCAAGGGTGAACTGGGTCTGTGCATGTTTTATGGTCTGTGGGAGGAAATCAGAGTACCTGGAGAAAACCCAAATATGCAAACTCTACACAGAGAAACCCCATGTGGAGCGGAAATGAACCCAGGACCTTCTTACTGTGAGGCTAACCCCTAAACCATCGTGCTGCCAAACTTTTTTTTTAACTTCACAAACAAAACAAGACAAAGTTAGGGATGTGTGTGCATTACTAACCCGGGTACAAATAGGTTTGCAAAATAATCAACCTAGCCACAGTTGTAGCTAGCTGTAGCAAAGTATTTGGCTTTCATAAACCTAGTTAAAGCATTTTCATCAGGAATATAATGAGATTTTATCTGGTTTTACTATATGACGTAAAACTGACAGTGATGGGTTTAAAACTAGCATTTGCACAAACATTTTGAATGTCTCAAGATTGGACTTGTGTCATGAGAGCAATTTATTTTGACTTCTATCTTGCACAAGTTGTTAGCTCATCAATCCAGCCACAGTTACTTTCTATTTCTCCAAATTGAGGTCATACAGAAAGCTGCTTACAACAGGTAGGATATTTATTGCTCAGAATCTTTCCACAGAACCCTACTTTAAAACAACCAACTTTTTATTTTCATCAGTTGAATAAATAACTATTTTTCAAAAAATTATGCAGCTCAGAAAAATGTCTCTGTTTTTTATGTCTTATATGAAGCTAAAGTATGACAGTGAATGTGATGTAGAAGCCTCAGACACATTGATTGATGTTATCTTGGCCACMGTTTGTCTCCATTCAGATTCACCACACCCAAAAACCAAGTCAGAAACTCTTAATAAGTTGAGTTTGTGTGCTGTTTTTGTATCTGTATCAGTCCAGTGTACATGTGTGTGTTTACAGCCTGCAGACCAGGGCACATACTCCTGTCACCTTCACCATCATTACTGTGGTCTGCATGAGAGGAGAGAGTTTCGCCTCACAGTCGAGCCGCCGCTCATTCGGAGCACCGAGCCCGTCAAACTTCAGCCTGACAAAGAAAAAGGTACAAATCTCCATTTTTCTAATGGGTCAGACTGGGAGCGCCTGCAGAGCAGATGCTTGATCATTTAGCTGATCGGAACTATCAGGAAATAAAGAATAGACACATCTGTTCTTTCCTTTAGTCTTGTTTTTGTCCTCCTTCATCCTGACTGCGTCTCCTCCTGGACTTTCCAAACAGCAGAGCAGAGGAGGAGGAAGTTTTCTGTTTGTTTCTTCAGGGAGATGCTTTTTCTTGCACTGTCAGCTTGGCACAATCTTTGAGAATGAGAGAGTTTCTGATGTGCGTGTTTTTCCATGAGGCTTTCATGTGTCTGTGCGTGTAGGAGAGAAAGCTTAGGTCTGTGTTTAATAGAGCAAGCCAAGAAGGGCAGATCTCATTTCAGAGGAATCCTTTGGATACGTTCTTTAGTTCTTCCAAAAAAAAAAAAATGCATTCCTCACTCTTGGAGCTGTAATAAGGCAGCAGGACTACACTTTGATTTTGAGAGTTCAGTTTTTGCACTCTTTTAAAGTGATTTCTATCACAGACACATGCCTTCTTGCTTTGCCCTCTCAGTTGTCTGCAGGCCTGTTGACTTTGGCAAAACTACTCCATAACTCCACCTTCATCCTCCTCCTTCCCCTTTTCCTCTTTTTTAATAAGTCCATGTGCTATGATCTGTTTTGCTTAATGCCCAACCAGGGACTGGAGTTGCAAATTAGCTGTAGCTATATACTCTTTGTGCAACGCATCAGTTACAGACTTGATCTGTTCCATGTTTTTGTATGCAATGTCCCTATTAAATAAATAAAAATAAAAATACTCCTGTCTTTAACATCACTATCATTTTTTTGTAGAAAAAAATCTTTTCTATAGTTTACAGATGAAAACGGGACACATAAGTGATTTGCTAAACAGATCACTTAAATAAATACAGAGAGACCAAAACCCAGAAAAAGCAGGAAAATAAGAACGTTTTGTTTAAAAATGGAGATGAAGACAACTYTTCCATGTAGTGAACGGAAATCAGATGGGAGAAAGTGCTTTTTTCCCCTGCATATGTCAGGCAAGCAACTACATATGTGCTATAAATTAGAGTTTTCAGTGTTGGGGTGAGGTCTTCTCTCAAGAGAAGATTATATCTCAGTCCTCTTCCTCTCCATTCGCTCCTCCTGCTTTCTTTGCTTTTTCTGTGTTTCAGTGCCAGGAAAAGTAAATCACAGTGTGACACCAGTCTGGCGCTCATGTTGGCTGAAAAATGTTGAGTCTGAGGTCCACAGCTGCTTCTTGACTTGCACCTTTTTCTTTTTAAAGAAAACCAGACTTTTTTTGCAGCTTCTACTTTGTAAAACTCAGCAGATGTTGTGTTCAGCTTTTTGTGTAAAGGTTGGAAATAAAAAAGAAACTTGCAAAGGTGTTGTTATAAAGGATTACAAAAGGAAAAAAAGTGCATTTATCGATGCAACTTGTCAGGAGGAGCTAAATGTTGAGTTTTACATCAGGTTTTCAGTGGATTGGGTGTAAGAAACAACTGAAAAGACAGCGGTTGTTAGTGGTTGTGTGTCTGACCACTAGACAACACTCTGGTGTGTTTGTGAGATGATGAACAAAGAAAAGTGCTGACTCTCTGGAACTTTTCCACCTCTCAGACACCCCCAAAGCGGAGTCGCCTCGCGTCATCACTGTCATCCTCCCAGACCAAAGGAACCACTTTCTCCTGCCGCTGGGCTTCGTCCTCACCTTCCTCCTGCTCCTGGCGTTCATCATCCTCATCATCATCCTCCTCACACGTCGACGTCGAGCCAAAGGTCTGGGCTGCAGAGGCTCCGTCTGGTTCGCTTTGATTCACCTGGAATTTTTCAATATCGTTGTTGTTTGTGTTTCCTTTTTTTTTTCAGATTTTTRTCCCAAGGCATCTATGAGGTGAGTGCTAACAGGACACAACATGAGAAGTCATAGAAAAAAAAAGACAGGGCATCTTTTAAAATGATTTGAGTCTAACTTTAAGTATATAATAACACACAACAGATTCCAAACTGACATTATTTATGCAACAAAAATGAAGCCAGAATGCAAAACTAGAACTTCGTTCTGCAGTAATAACTCCCAGTTGTAGTTTTCTCTAGAAACTCACCAACCTTTGAAGAAAATTGGCCCTCTTTTTTTTTACAGCATTGCTTCATGTCACTGAAGTTTGCAAACTTTACTTTTGCACAATTCTGTTCAGTCTCTTTTTGACAGATAACATGGCCTCACATTTGACTCTAGAATATTTTGGTTRAAGAAAAGGATCTGTAGCTCAGCGGTCRGTGCTGCCGTCTCATWATCCTGAGGCTGCAGGTTTGAGCCCAGGTTGTGTCACTTTTCCTATTAAATCCTGTGGAAGCAGGAAGGTTGGAAGGGACTTTATTAGTTCTGACTGTGACAGGTCCAACAGAAGTGACAGCAGCTTGGAGGAGTGTGAGGTTGATGTCAGCGAGGTGAATGTCTGCAGTCRGGAGGAGAGAAGAATCGGTGAGTTTGTTTCTTTTAATTTGTCTTGTCTGCAGCATTAAATGTGTGGATAAAATGAAAATGAGGCTTTAATGGGTGTTCAGTATTMTTGTAGTAAAAGACAGGCAGTGGTTCATTTTGGACTTTTTCCTGTTTAGACTACAAGAACAACCTGCTGAAAGACAACGCCCACGTGAACACTCAACCAAAACTTATTGATCTTGACAAAGGTATGTGTGTTKTAATTTACAGTATCTCTTATTTTCCTTTCATGAAACTCAATTTTTCTTTTTGTTTGTCTGTGCTCCTTGCAGAGATGCAGAAGTTTTCCAAGTGAGGAAAAAAAAAACACAAAACCGGTGACAGAAATGAAATCAAAGTCACTGGCTGGTCCAGAGACTGCGCTCCAAACTTAACTGGTCCACACCACCTTCTGTCCTGCACTGCAGAGGGGGGAACGAATGCTTTTGGAAATCCCTGACCGAGGGGCTCAACATAAAAATCACCGTTTGACAAAAAAAGTCATTAATAATAAATAACCCAGACACTGACAGGTGTGCTGAGTGTGACTCAAGCCTTGAATGTTGCGTGAAGGACGAATCTGCACATAAATCCACTTTATTGTGATGTGAGGAGTTTTTTTATTTTATTTTTTTCTGTTTTTACAGCTTGAATCATTTCTCATTATGCTTGTTTGCGTTTGTTAAATTTGAACTTTACCCCAAGCTTTTGTTTTCATTGGACTGAAGCTGCTTTATATGCAAAGTATTTTTTAACGTCTTCATATTTACTGCTGATATTTACAAAMGTGTTTTCACCCTTTTTAAAATGCAACAATACAGACAGTTAGTGTTGTGGGCCAAAAAATGTTTTAAGTTTTTTTTTTTTTTTTTGATGTTGAATGTTTCTTTTCATGAAGATTAAAGTGAGGTTTTAACAGTGAAACTAAGGGACTGAATGACTCAAGGGCGCCCTCTAGTGACAAAAACAGCATCAGCTGTTAGATCAGTATTCATTCTGTGACTATATGCATGAAGCACACTACATTTTTACTGAAAATGTCCGTCTTTTGTGGCTTTTGCTTTGTTTAGTTTCATGTCATACAAAGCTAATCCCCATGTTTCTGCTGCACTTTACAGTTATTACAATAAAGTCATGATAACATTGAGAAAATGTGGTCAGTTCACATTTAAGTTTGTAAAGGTTAATCACAGAGGAAAAAAGAAAATTTGATTTGGTTCCTAAAAAATTACATTTTTCTGAAAATGGTGCTAAAGTTCTGCTTTATGTTAAGATATTAGTGCTTTAAAGATAACCAAACACCTTAGATCATAAGTCATTTATTCATTCTTTTGTCACAAACAGTCCCTGAATTCAAGACAAATGGCTTTTTATACAATTCRTAGTAAGTCTTGAATACATCATCTATAAAATACACAGTACTGTCATATACTTTTGATCTAAAAACAATAGAAAACATGGTCTGTGTTGCGCTTTTGGACACGTGTACTGAAGGAAGGAGACTGTGCGCTCATTCACACCTGCAGTCGGACTCAGCACAAGAAGAGTGACAACATTCACAGAATGACAATTAGCTTCTCCACACCTCCCTCTCCTTAATATTTCCACACATGGTCAGAAAAACAAAAAAAAAATGCTACTGGGGCTAAAAGGGAATTCATTCAGTAAGAAAAAAATAGGATCAGAAGAAATTTGGGGCTGTACACAACAAGGCTACAGGTAAATAATGGTGATGATCTGTTTTTAGGTTTTTGAGTCATGAGCTTGTTTGAGCTTGAACTTGTTTTAGCCAAAAATGCCATCTGGTTTGTTCATCAGTCAACATAACATTGTAATGACAAAACTGATCTGCACAAGAGAAGAACCTATGGAATAAGAACAAAGCACATTTAAATCATGAGATTTTTCCTGAATATTATAGACAAATCAGAGCAGCAAATGTGTATTAGTCTCCATCGGATAAAAATAAAACATGACCCCACCATGTCTTCGTTATGGTAGATTAGACTGTTAACACTGTGTCACTGAGTTGGTGTGGTGCTCATACTCTACAACAAGTCACTGGAGAAGAATCTGACTAATTGAACAGGTAGGGCAGGTGTTCACACAGTGCTCTTGTTCAGGGGGCAGCGACTAAAAGATGTGTGTGATGAACAGCTGGTGGCTCAAAGCACCAGAGGAGGTGGAGTCTGTATTGTGAGATAAACCCCTCCAGGGGCTCTATTAACACAAAAACAACAGAGGTATAACATCAACAATTAGGTGAAGACAGTCACGTTAGAGTGACAGAGAAAACACCAGTAACATGTACAGTCTGTCTCTTCCCCACTCTTGTTTAGGCCTGGTTCTAGTCTCTGCTGTCTGTACAGAACATTAAACCTAAAGAGCGGGGGTCCACCTTCTCCAGACAGGTCAAGAGAGACGCATGGCAGGTGCTGTTGAGCTTTTTGACTTGTTCACTGTGAGCCGTGCAGTGGCTGACGTCCGTGTCTTTAGGTGTCGACCACGGGTCCGATGGAGTCCTGCTGAAGGCCTTCCGCAGTTGCTGAACCGTCTGAGACCGGAGGCTGAGGGGAGTGGGTYGTGGCCGGCGCCGAACTGCAGCTCACACAGCCCTGTGAGGCGACAGACGTGTTTGGCGTGTGTCCATTACAGCACAAAGAGAAATATGAGAACTCCGGGGGCTCTGTGTTACCTGTGTGTCTATTTCCTGTGGGATGGTGTGCTGCTTAATCCAAGGATGGACCTGAGCCAGCTCCTCCCTCTGCTCCTGGGTGAACCAGGGCTGGAGGGGCTGAAGCATGTGGAGCTTCTCTCGGTCTTCTGCCAACACCTCACTCTGGTCCCTGAGTTAACAGAAAACTGGTCATTACTAGTCCAAATATACTTTAGATTTAAATACGGGGTTATTTTTAAAAGTCCAGCTRAATTTTGCTACCTCCTGCTTCTTCTGGTAGAAACAGAAGGTGGTATGTACTTGTACCTGGGGTGTATCTGGTATGTCATCATGACGTGCTCAGGTGTGTGCTGGATCATGCTCCACAGGGAGCTCTCCACTCGGCTGTCGAAGCTGCGCTTGTGCTCCGTCTGTGCCTCCTGGCTCTTACGAGCTTTTCTCGATGTGTCAGATGAATCGTTGCTGGCGAAGTACTTGCTGCTGTTGCTGCTGCCTGTAGTTCAACAAGAACTCTGCATGTTTCATTTCACTTTGTCCAGCTATTAAGTAAARCTCTCTCCCATCTTGCATTTAGCTTCATGATTTAATGTACTTATTTACTAACAACGTAAAATAAAGAATGGTGCACATATAAAAATATAATCATCCTTCTCTCAAACATCTAATATGTTAGATAAACTTTATCCACTAAACAAATAAAAAAAGGTTTTATCCTGTAATATAAGAACACTGTAGGCGTGTCTCTTCTCACCAGTGTGTGAGGTGGAGGTACCATTACTCCTAGAGCCAGATCCAGATCCCAGTGAACCAGACTCTCCTGATCCAGAACCTGAGGCATTGGAGCCAGTCCCTGACCTGGCGTCCTCCTGCAGCAGGAGGTCCAAAAGCTCACTGGATGTAGACTGGGCATCATGATTACTGGACTCACACGGGGCGTTGCCCTGAACAGAGCAAAAGTTTACAAGTTAGAACTAAACTTGCTGCTTGCACCGTGAACATGTGTGAAACAGGCAGCAGCAACATTACCTCGGTGACGTGTTGTTCATGGAGGCTTTCAGGATGGTTGTGTCCAGTGCTGCTCTGCCCCTCACCCAGTTTGGGGAGTTCCTCCTGTAGCAGGTTGAGCTGCAAGGGAGAGCTCGAGCGAGAGCTGGAGAATAAAGCTCGAGGCTCTGCTGCTTCTTCCTCTTCTCCAACAGAGCTGGCTCTCTGTGAGCACAGAAGGAGGCCGGGTGAAGTCTGGGGGCCAGGCTGGGCCTGGAACTGAGGCTGAATGAAGGAGGCACAGTCAGGCGTGAACCCTGGCATAATGCTGGATGTTTGAGGTACAGCGGAGGAAACAGATGGTAGGTAAACAGAGGGAAAGCCAGGACTGAAGGTTGGATAGTTGGGTAGGATGACTGCCATGATGGGAGCCATGTAAGGGTTAAAGCTCTGAGCTGAAGTCATTGTGTGTAAGTTATAAAAGTTCTGGACATTCTGCTGGGGCTCCATTTGGACTGGTGGCATGCCCGGCTGGCTCTGAGCCGACTGCATGATGTTAAAGTTGTAGCTGAGCTGCTCCGGAGGCTGCAGCGTTACAGGAGCTGCTCCAGGCAGCTGCTCAGGGCCGGGCTTCCCCATGACCGGGATGAACGGAACCTGCAGTGGGGATGTTTGACAGGGGGGTTCTACCATGCGGGGGTGCGAGGACTCTGAGGAGGGCCAGGAAGAGTAAGGAACCCGGTAAGGGGGGCCAGCTGGGGAGGCATAGCTGTCTGAGGAACCCTGCGGTTTGGGTCGCTTGTGTCTGAGYTTTCCTCTTCGGGTCCGATTCCAACCTCCAGCACTCACTGGGCGTCGGTAGTCTCCTAAAGTAAGACGGGTACAATATAACAAAAAAGTAAATCTAAATCAAGMAATCTTATAACACGTTATTAAAAGAAACGTTGCATTTCTGCACAAATATACAGACCTGGGTGGTAGGAGTGAGCCATCGAGCTATTTTCCAGCTGCAAATAGGAGCTGTAAGGACTTTGGAGAATGCGATGACGGAATCGATCCACATATTCTTGTTCTTCTTTCTGGGTGTGAGCTGACAGCACCTCTTTGGTCAGACCTACAAAGCGTCTTTCCTCTGTGGCGGGGCTTGGGGCAGGACGGATGGGGGTTGCAGCCACATCRGCAGGCTCGCTGCCCATCGGCGCATCTTCTGGTGCTGTGGCCTCTGTGAAGAAAAAATAAGTAAATAAAATCAGGGACAACAAACAGGTTATTTTCAGCTTAACCCACAACCTTGAAATCTTAACCTGGAAATCTTATATATATATTACAGTATATAAAAGGTAAAATATCTAAAACATTTCTGTGATAAATAGGGTAAAGGATACATTAAATAAAAAGGCTTTGTATATTCTGTATAACTCACTGGTTGTACCATATATGACATATTGTGCGGAGGTATGGGGGAATGCCTGTAAAACTTATATAAATTCAATCTTTCTCTTACAGAAAAGAGCTGTTAGAGTTATCTGGATTCAGAGATCATACAAACCCAATATTTATAGAGATGAATCTACTGAAGGTTAATGATTTCATTGAGTAAAATATCTTAAAATTCATGTAAAAAGCCCATAAAAATATGTTACCTAACAATATCCAAAGCAGATTTATCAAAAGAGAAAGTATATATAATTTAAAAGGTGATGAGACTTTTGAAAAACATAGATTTAGAACTGTATTAAAGGGAAGATGTATCTCAATTAAGGGTGTTTGTTTGTGGAATGGTCTTGATGGTGAGACAAAACAGTCAAAATCTTTTTTTGTATTTAAAACACTTGAAAATTACTTTGATGAAGTGTTATAATATTGTCTAAAGTATTGTTTTGTTGTAATTTTGTGTGTTGAAATTTGTTGCAATTTTGTGTGTTTACTTACGCCGTATGCTGACGGTGAACTTTTGAGTTGGTGGCTGATTTTATTTTGCGAGTAGGGGCAGATCTTATAAGTTTATACGTCTTTCTGCCAGTTTTCATTCAGTGACTTCTTTTTAACTTAGTTTTAACTTAGTTTTGYTTTCCTTGACATTTAGATTTTGTATGAATCATCATTTTTTTTATTTTATTGGACTTTGTAGTATTGGATGACTTGCTGTTTTGTACTCATATTTCAATTCAGGATTGAAATAAATAAATAAACAAATGCTAAACTTTTAATTATAAAGTTAGTCAATTAAAATATAACATTCACAAAAAAAATCAAAGGTGCACAACATCATCTCAGCAGCTTCCATGGTGTATGTTTAGTACCTGACTCGGGCTGAGGCACATGGACGATGGTGCTGCTGTACGAACACTGGCTAGTGACCGAGACAACACTCATGGCCTTAGAGGTCATTGTGATGTCTGTCAGAGGCGCCCCGACAACTGCCGCAGCTGTAGGGCCCACTGACACCTCGCTGTCCAACACAACCACTGGAAAGTGAGGTGGACATATGTTAAAAGTCTGACATATGTTAAAGTATGTTAAAAGTTAGACTGAATACTGAGATGTGCTCTGTGTGCTTTTACCATCTGAACTGGTCTGAACCACACCAGCGGCGCCTGCCGGTTTGTCCTCTTCTGAGGTAGAGGATGAGGAGGAAGAGGCGGCCAAAGAACGAGACTCGCTCTTTCGTTTTAGGACTTGACCTGCACAGCCCTCCAAGTATCTGGATCACGTAACAATCAAAAAAATAAATAAATACATTTAAAAAAACAGTCAGATGCCTGCAGTAGCTGACTGCTTCAATGGGAAAAATATGTGAAGCATCATGAAAAACCTATTTCTTTACCTGATGATATTGTCTACACAGTTGATTTGCTGATAGGAAGGGATGTGGGTTTGTTTCCTGCTTTCACCGTTTCCTCTGGTCTCAAGGTTGGGGGCTGTGGGGGGTTGAGGTACTGTAAAAATAAAAATAGGCTTTAGCTGATATCAAGTTTGGCAACCAAGAACACCTTTTTCTTCCCGTCACTTTGATATTTTAGTTTTTTTTTTTTTTTTGAAGACTGCTTTACCTGCGGTAGGTTTGCCATGACAAGAATGTTTTTGGCTGGAATCTAGGAAAGTTTGTCGGCCCCAGGTTTTTGCTCGGTTCACGTCAGCACAGATCTGCTGCAAAGTCATCTGCAAATCCACACACACACATGCAGGACACACACAGTGTCTCAGGAAGAGTAATGTTTGCAGAACAGTTGGAGAAGGCAGTCACGGCTTGGTGTTTTGCTGTGATGTCTCACCGGTTCTCGGTGCGAGTCCTCCCATAGATTACCGTTGCTGTCACTTGAAGAGGCAAAGCTGATGTAGTGCTCATGAGAGCCGTTACTCCCCAAACTGCCRTAGCCGCTGGAGCCATTGTTGTGGACAGGCTGTGGACAAAAGACACAATAAAGTCAATGTAGTGAAGGGTTTTTGAAATGGTATCAATATTTAAATAAAAGATTTGAACAAATTATTCATTTAGTTACTTGCAGAGATAAAAAAAAAATGTTTGTGCTGTTTGCAGTTATGAAATAATCACCTGCAGGAAAAGCTTATAGATTTTCGCTTGAAGATCTTTGATTTCCTCATATGTGACGGGAATGTCTTCCTTCATCTGAGCAGCAAACACATCCTCATTCAGAGGACTCCTGCAAACAACAACACAGCATTWGTTATCTCCATTATTAAAATGATTCATTTGAATTTCCAAATATGTTTTTCTTAGAAATAAAAAAAACCCTTCATCACTTTCAAAGAAAACAGGTGAATTGAGTCTTTGTGTTATCATACGCACGTTCTGACTTTGTGCCGACCGATGATGAAAGCCACCTTTCGACTCCAGGGATTAATAAAACTGGACCAGCTGGTGTCCAAGGTGACRTAGTCTCCATTCTGACAGCGCAGACGCACCGGAGAGTGCTCAAACGGAGRCTGACCAGCATACTTTAACACTGTAAGGCATGAAAACAGAAATGCTTCATGCTTCTCACAGTAACCAACAGTGGGTGAACTCCTCAYGCTCTCTCTGGAATAAACACTTTTAAACAAATTGTTTTTCAATGTTTGACAATTCAAACACCAGATATAAAAACAACCCACAAGGTTAGYTGTACAGTAAATATATAAATGAGTCATTCTTCTGTTTTATTTACATTTTACACGCTGACTGRTTTTCATTCATCAACGGACCACTCACCTTTTCTGTGCATGGACAGCATGAGGGGACGGTCCTCTGGGTGGATGCAGGTCAGCAACGATGTGCCAATCAGGTCCTGAGGAAGGTATCCTAGTAAAGGCACAGCCCTGTGGAAAACAACCACCAGATTAACTCGCTTACAAATTAAGTTTACAGATGAGCCACTGTACCATAGTGGGGTACAGATTCTGCCTTATTCTGTGTGTATTGACCTGTCATCAACTTCCAGGAATATACAACCAGGGGAGTGGGTTGTAGTGAAGATGCGCTTGTCCATGGGGATCCGAGGTGCTGAGTAAAACAAGACAAAAAATTTTAAAAAATCAGCCACTTTGTTTCTTGAAAATTGAAAACTGACAGAAATTAGTAACACAAAATAAATTTAAARTGTGTTTATAATTTAAGTAAGGAAATCGCTGTACCCTCATATCCGGAGATGATGCGTTCTGCCAGTGCCAGGCAGCATGGCTCCTCCTCCTCCCCTGTTCCCTGCACCTTCAGCTGGTACGGCGTGATGCGAAATGGATTGTACCGCATCTCCCCGTCACGATCCTTGCTGCCCCTGAAACRAACAGGAAAAAACGCATACATTGTTGAACTTCAAATATTGTTATTGTTATATCCATCAGAGTTTGGTCTCAACCAGGAAGCTCTTCATCATGTAAGGTAACTTCACCACCTGCCATTGTGACTACGACCACKTTTTTCTTTTTAACAGCAAAATTAGCTTTGATTATTTTGGACTTTAACAAAGAACATCTGGAATATCATCATCTTATGACTAATGTATGTATCGTTATGTAGTAAAACTAACAACAGTCAAATCTACAATGTACTTTAAAAAGTCAGTTTGGGTTGTGTTCGTCTGACATCCACTGGTGAAAACGAACCACTGGAGGTGATTTATAACTTRGAGTAAAAAATGTGAAAAACTGACCTTATCCTGCAGAAGAAGGACTTGACCTGGGCGCTGTCAAACAAAACTCCAGCTTTAGAGACAAAAAGAAGACAAAGTTRAACATTCTGATTTTAGTTTGCACTTATGCATTTCAACAAATCCCCAGAAACAGTATTGAACAAACTAAAATGATTCGAAATGTATGCTATGCAAATGTAAACAAGTACTAAAATTTGAAACACTTTATTATATGAGCAGAAAAAAAAGAATAAAATTAAAGACTGTGCACRAGAACCTCTTCATGTTGTGCTGTTTGGTGAGGAGTTTTTATATTTAGGTGATAAAAGGGAAATTCCAGAGTTTTTACATAAGCAGCAGCAACAAAGTGTAATATCCTTTAAGTCTTTTCTCACAGAAATGAAAAGAAAAACAAAATAAAAACACTGGCTCTTAATAGGATTTAAGTCATGTGAGCAGGGGGTCAAGGTTTTCCAGAAACTGGAGTGAATTTGATCCCAACTTGTAATAATCAACCGCTAATAATAGTTTGACTGAGTCTAACTCAGGGCCCCCCAAACAGCATTAGCTTGTGGCCGGGAACCCCGCTTACAAACCCACAAACAATGCTACAAAATATGTAAACATCAACTTATAGAATGTTTTTTTGCCCCCACTTTTATTCACTTTTCAATAATTATTATACTGTTTTAGCATAAGAATTGTATTAACTAACATGTTTTAAACACTTCCACTGAAAAAAATAATTTTCAACAAAACTGACGACAATAAGAACAGAAAATAAATCAAATCTCTTAAGTTCTCTTAAATACACTTCAATATATTTGTCCTTATGCATCTCAGTAATCCAGGTAGAAAAAAATCAAAAAGAAAAAAAAAATAAGTAGGTCCTCTGGATGGGTTCTTCTTTAGTGAAATGTTTCGTCTCTCCTCCAAGAGACTTCTTCAGTCTGATGAGTTTCAAGTGAACTCAGCCTTATAAGCACTGCTCCCACATGGGCAAACAAGTTAGTCACATGCAAAAGTGACTATTTGACTATATAGTGACTTTTGCATGTGACTAACCTGTTTGTCCATGTGGGAGCAGTGCTTATAAGGCTGAGTTCACCTGAAACTCATCAGACAGAAGAAGTCTCTTGGAGGAGAGATGAAACGTTTCACTAAAGAAGAACCCATCCAGAGGACCTACTTATTTTTTTTCTCTTTTTGATTTTTTTCTACTTGGATTACTGAGATACAT